AGGCCATCGATCTCGACTTCGCATTCGGCGTGAACGGTTGAAGTTAATGAAGTGTCTGCTTGGAGCCTTGATACGGTCGACGGCGGTGGCCAATTCGAGGACTATGGGGAGGTGATCGCTACCCAGGCTGATTTCCGTGCTCCACATGGTGAAGGCTACCAGGCTGAAACTGGCGAGGGAAACATCGGGCGAGATGGAGGCACTGTTGGTCGGGAGCCGCAGGTAGACTCGTCCTAATAACTGCTGCAGTTAGAATCTTGATCGATACATTCTTGACATGTTTACGAAACGCATTTCACAGGGTAAAGGAGAGCTCTGTGGCACAATGACCGTGAAACGGCTGTCTGCCTCGACCTTGTTAGTACCTTAATGAGCTTTCTATTTACTAATATTAAGTTTAATTTAAATTTTTAACTGAAAACTGGCAATCCTCGCCTGTAAACTGGCAATAAATAAATAAAACATGCAGTTCTATCGCTAACTCGCATATAAAAATCTACCTTTAACAATAAACCAACCAGAACCATAGAACATTTAAAAATCAAAGGAAATGCAACTCAATCGTCGCTCATGACTATATTTCGTTCGGATCCAAAGTAGCTTACATGTACAGTCTGAGGAGCGTCTTACTGCTAAAACTAAGGATAATTATTATTGTGAAGTAGCACATAGTTAAACAAACGCCGCATGTATCTCCTCTGACACTATGCTACGCCCGTGTGCATTTCCACTTCAGATTTTGACGAAGTTTTGCGTCTCACGTGTCACGGTGTATTCGGGCACCAAAACGTACAGAACACTGATACCACCTGACATCCGCTTCCAAACGAATAAATCTCATCCTGGGCGGAGACTTAAAAGTCACAAAATATGGCATAGCACTCACAGTCCTCATACTCGCCGTCGTTTGCTCCGAATAAACAGCAGAGACGTTTATTTCATCCTCATCTTCATCGTCGTCATCAGAAGGGAAGAAGATGACGTTACCCTCAAAGCTGTCGACACTTTCAACATCCGAATCCGTCTCGGGATATTCCTTGTCTGCGTTGACAGTGTTCTTGACCGGCCTGTGGGACAGAACAGATAGTGACAAAGAAATTAAGAGGCAAGCGGACGCCAAATGAGCAAAAATTCAACAGGAAAAGACGCTTGTTCTGATAACAGTAGGCGTTAAAAGTCAGATCAAATGGATCAGGCTAACGTAGTGTGTTCTCAGCGCTTAAACGCAGATAGCATTATGAAAAATAAATTCATACATATTGGCAAACTGTCTTTTGAGAAAACTTCATCAGTCCCTTTCCCGGATAAAGTGTTGCATAAAAAAGTTAATGTAATACGGCCGATTTAAACTTTTTCGGAATTTTTCGCTTTTCTAAAAAGGCTGGCATTTCTAAACAATGTTATATTACTGGATAAACCGCAATAAGTCTTAATTTGAAGAGCGAGCATTATTTTACTGCTGTTAGCCTGTGGGGGGCGCAAAGTGAACTGCGTTTGCGTGACGTTTTTTTTGTAAAAATCCCTGGATTTCATGAGTTACCCCACCTACTGCACACTACGGCCTAGAATTCGTGTAACATGCTGACATATGCGAAAGATTGATACTATTTCGCTAATCGGCATTGAGTAAGGTTGCCATACTGATTATTGTGTAGTCTATTCTGAAGCCATTTCAGCAACGATAAGATGTCGGCTTTTTATCGAGCTTCTTTCCGACCGATAAAAAAACGTATGTACTGTAAAAAAGTGGCTACTTAAGTAAAAAACATTTTTATCATTGATTTTGGCTGCCTTTATAAATTCAAATATATTTTGTGGAAAACAAGAACGAAAATATCCTTCTTTAACTCGTTAAGTAGCAAATTACGCCTTCTTTAAATTTTATACTTAAGGAAACAGTATTCTTCGGTTTCTAAAAAGCTTCTCATTGTGAGCTGTTCTACGAATGGGAGGTGTTCATTAATTATACGTCAAATCCGTCAATTTATCAATGCTACCTATAATGTATACAGCCTGTTCCACATCTGTTGCAATATTTTGTGAGAACTATGTGACTTCTTCCTCAAACCGTAGGCGAAAGCATACTTTTCCCTAAACAGTATGTACACTGCGCGCAGTTTGTAAAGCTTGAATGCAAGCCTAGCAGTCAGTAAGTTTAAAAAGTAATTCGGCAATTTAGAAACTTTTTAAAACCGAAAGATACCCTTTCTTAAAGTATACAACATAAAGAAGGCCTAATTTGCTACCAAACGAGTGCAAGAAAGAAGTTGTTGGGTTAAGGAGGCGCAATTTGTTATCAGATAAGTACGAGAAAGGACTTTTTCGTGTACTAATTTTTACCAAAAGAGTACAAGAAATAAATTTTTTCGTGCATGTTTTCCAAAATTTAAAGAAGGCGTAATTTGCTATCATACATGTACAAGAAACAATTTTTTCGTCCATGTTTTCTGTGAAATATATTTGAATTTATAAAGGCAGTCAAAATCAATGATAAAAATGCATACTATTTAAGCAGCCACTTTTTTTACAGTACATACGTTTTGTTAGCGGTCGGAAAGAAGCTCGTTAAAAAGCCGGCACCCTTTCTTGACTGAAATGATTTAAGAATAGACTACATGATAATCAGTATTGCAACCTTTCTCAATGCCGATTAGCGAAAGAGTATCAGTCTTTCGCATACGTCGGCATGTTGCACGAATTCTAGGCCGTAGTGTATACCAGGATTGCACACAAAAAGTGACGGGGGCATTTAGAGTTAACGCAGTTATCTTTACAGCAGTAAGATAGACGTGGGCTGCTGGGAAGTAAGTACAGCAGAAAGAATGAAGAAACTGAAGATTGGTTTCTTATTAATTAGGATTGCGACCTCACTAAAATAGATTTTGAAAGACCGAATAAGAACCAGATAAAAATGTCTTATGGGCTTTTTTCACGTATTACGCATATAGATTGGAGTTAAAAACTTATAAAACTATGTAAAAGTACGGGAAAACAAGAAATCAAAGAGAATACTTACAGAAGGTTATCCCCCTCCGCCGCTTCCTGGATGTCTTCACCTGCGATAATAAGAAATCACCAATGATGTTGTTGGATTAAACATTGGATTATACATGTGGAACGGCTGCTGGGAGATAAAGATTCTGAAAACAGCAGTACTCTAGTCGCAATCAACTAGGAATGCAAGGTCAAACTATCACATGCGAATGTGCAAGATCAAAGGTTATAACAAAAGGTAGACAAACCCAAGTCGAACTGGTGAATACAGCAGGGGAGGGTCCTTATAAGCATAAAGTCGAGCCCAACCAATGGTTAAGGACAAATCATTTACATGTTTCTTGTTTGTGCAATACCTAACACAATCGACAACGCGCGGGGAGAGGAGCCAACTTATGTCGGGCGCTGGACTAATTTCAAGGGAAATTGGGATAAGTGTTACGGTTACGACGAGATTTTGGTTAAGATTGGGGTTTTGGCTACGTGAAAGGTTAGAATCAGAGTTTATTTTAAGTTTAGGACAAGAGTTCGGGTTGGGACTAGGGTTCGATAATATTTATCTCTTTTGGAATTTTGCTTATGGATAACTGTACTATAGGGAGATTTCTATTTCCGTGTCTTACCCTCGGCTTACACATTAAGAACGACCCTGAATAACGGTTCTTTACAGTATCTGGGATCATTTTCAACATGAGAGTACAAAATGTAGGCAAAAAGAAGTAAGAACACTATTATAACCAGCGAAACTGCAGTTTATAAGACCCGAAAAAGGCTGTTTTCAAGGTCTGGGAACTCTCGAAATGCTTTTTTCGTCTTCGATATCCAACAGAAGATAAAGGAGAAGAAATAGGAGAAAGACTAGATAAAAGGGGAAAAAGAGGAGTGAGAAAATTAGGAAGAATAAAAAGCAGAAAGGACGAGAAAAAGAAGGTTAAAAAATCGTTAATTAGACACGATAACAAATAAAATACAAAAACACCAATTTGCTTGATTTAGCAGAACAACAAAGTTTCAATTGGAGAAAAAGAGGTCTGCCGTTAGATCACGAAGTGGCCCTGCAAAAATATCAGAGTTAAGCCTAGAAAAATGAGGCTGAATTCGTCATTATTCATTTGATCGTTTCTTGGTCTCACAAGAGGCCACCCAGTCACAAACACAAATTCCTTATTTGTAACCTGTTTGTTTTGGGTCACACCTAAAATTACGAGGGCAAATAGAAAGTAAATAGACGGTTGATAAAACTACCCACACAAAATTGGACAGATAGATAGTAATTTTGACAAGGAGGCGGTACGAACCAGTCTTCCGCATGGTGTCTTCAAAAATTCTTTCAACTCCGGACACGAGTTTGGACTCCATCAGCAATTTCTCCATGTTCGATCGCAAACCATCTTCTGACCGATCAGTCTCCGGCTGCAAAGCAGAAAGTCGAAGACGAACAGAAGTTGGTTTCTGTTGCTCCTCCTCTTCAGCCCCATCTCCCTCACTATCTTTGCCTTCCTGTTCTTTTCCCTTCGATGCATTGCCTTCTCCCTCTTCCTCCTCGCCCGAACCTTGTGCTCCGACGGCTGCCATGGTTGGTTCCCCACTGCGACGCTTCCGCCGTTTACCCGCTGCCAAACGACCTTGTTGGCGTCCGCCAGAATTTGACACTGCCGCCTCCTCTTCTACTCGTCGCTGGCGA